CAGGTGCCATGGATGGCCTCCCACCCACCCTCCCCGTGTGTGCAGAGAGTGGGGCTCCCTCATGTCCTGTGTACTGGTCTCCTCTGCAGCTCAGGCTCTATGTCTACGCCTCACCTGGTACTGGATGACAGGAGCCAACTTTTCTGCTGTCCTCAGGCCCTCCTCTGGGTATGTGCCTCCCACGTGGTGAGAGCCCAAGTCTGCAGGCTTCCTGGAATCTCCTGGAGCCTCCTGGCCTGTCGAGGAGGAGGGATTGGGGGACTATTGGGGGCTGTGTCTTTTTTGGACTCAGCAGGGATTATTTTTAGGCTGGCAGATGGAGGTGGCGGTGGCTGTCGCTGGTATTATTAGACAACAGGCCTGTGGTTTGAGAGTCTGGTGCCCAGAGGAGGAGGAAGAGGAGGCTGCAACAAGGAGCCATGAGGCTGGTATTCAGCCAGCGTCCTCCCTCCTCTTAACCATTATCAGACTCAGTAGGGCTTCTAGGACCAGGCAGAGTGGCCTTCACCAGACTCAGCCAGTGATGCTCCATCTGATCCACCTCCTTTTGGGAGGGAGGCCTGTCCTGTCAGCCTTCTGTGGTCTTGGAGTGGAGGGTCTGGACTCTCAGAACTTATGCAGAATGTTGGAGGAAGCCCTGTCTCTCTGTAGGGAAAGAAAGGGGCACAGGGGAGAGACCTTGGTCACCTGGGTTCTGGAAGGAATCCTGACCCACCATTTGTTACCTAGGTAACTTTGGGGAAGCCACATACTGTCCCCATTTGTGAGATTGAGAGAGCAGCCCCATGTGAGGAGCCACATTATAGGCAGATAACATCACACTCCTGGTACAGACTCCATATGTGGTGGGGCTGGGCAGTGTGTTCTGTTTGCCTCCCAGCCACAGCCAAGGGTTCGACATCTGCTCCTTGCCTCTTCTCTGGGTACTTAAAAGTGGTTTTCCATCCCCAGGACCCTTCCTCCCCACCCCTTTCCTGGCTCTAGCTTGTGACTGTTGGATGTGGGACTGTGCCAAGCCTTGGATGCCTTGTGGTTCTGTGCACACAGGGTGTCTGCTGGAAGCTCTGGACTCAACTACCCACTGGGTACCAGCTGGCCCCGAGAATGGGAGATTTGTATCCTATGGGCTTCCCAAAAGGTCAGCCAACCTGTGGGGGCTCACTCCATCCACCTGCCCTCTTGGTTTCTCTTTCCTGCCAGGATGGCATAGTCTTAAAGTAGGCTGGGCAGACACTCAGGATTTGGATTTACTAGTCATATCAAATCATATTCTGCCCTCTTGAAAACTGCTGTGTAGGGCCAAGGGTATCTCCTAGCTTCCTTATCCTACTCACCAAAGTCAGTCTAAGTGAGGGATCTATGGTCACTATTCCGAAGCATCTCTCTTGACCTCCTCCTTCCTCCTTCCCCTGCCTTCCAGCTGTTCCCTGTGGCCCTACTGGAGACCAATATGTCTGCCTTATGTAGGCCCTGCTCTGACTCTTAGCTCTATGGTCCTTTGGATTTTAATGTCTCTTTGTTATGGTAACTGATCTGAGTGTCCCCTGCCTCCCCCTCCACCCCCATCCAAGTTGGGCTGGGCATGCACTCAGCTTGCATGAGATACATTTGTGTCCCCACCCCCACTAATTTTCATGCCCTGAGTCTTTTTCATTCCTGGCCTAGGGTTTGCTTGCCCCTGTGTTTGCTTTCTCAATTTCTCTTCTTTAAAGGCCCACTTCCCACTGTATGCCAGGCTGTTGATTTTTTTTTTCTGTTTTTTTCTTTTTCTTTTTTTTTTTCTTCTCACTGAGTTTTTCTGGAGAGATGTTTATTAGACATATTTTGGCTCAGAGAAAATCAGGCCTAGAGAGAGGTATCTGTGGGTGATAGAGTGAGGGAGGAAACACACACACACACACAGTGTGTGTGTGTGTGCATGTGTGTGTGTGTGTATGTGTGTGTGCGTGTGTGTGTGTATGTGTGTGTGTATGTGTGTGTGTGTGTGTGTGTGTAGGAAGAGAAGATGACTATTTTGAGATCCAGAAACCCAGGAGAGCTTGGGCTGAGTGTGGAGGCTGAGCCATGGCTTTCCCCTCGCCTTACTTGTGGAGACACTTGTCTTGGTTTGTCTCGTGTGTCATCTTGGGGATGCATCCAGTTTGCAGTCACTTGTCTGTGCTTGGGATGCTCTGGAGAAGAGTTGCTGGCTGTAGAGCACCAGCTTTGTGCTACCTTGGGGGCAGGCTTCATGCTTGGGGCTTGAGGCCCAGCCCAGGGCCTGGCTGAAGTCAGGAGTGTGAGCCTACAGCCTCCCTTCCAGGGCTGGAAAGAAGGTGTGAAGGAGCTGCCTTATTGAGATGCGGTGAGAACCAGGCAGCACTGGGTGCAAATGAGCAGCTGGAACTCTGGGGACCCATGCCAAAGCTGACCTACCTCTGGGCATTGCTCTCCAGAGCCTTGGACTTGGCAGTCTGTTGTCCAGAGCAGGAGTTGACTCACAGAACTTCATTGTCTTCCCCAGCTCTCATTTTTCTGCCTAGACTTTTGGGGCAAATGAGCTACCTGTATTGGGCCATGTTGCCTGGTAACCTGGACCTGGGAAAAAATCCCTTTCCCTTTTCCCAGGCTCCTGTAGTGTGTCTCCTAATCTTCTTACAAGCTGTGCTGCAGGTAGTTTATGCATGTGTGCACACACATGTACATGCATGAGCACCCCTCTCCCCATTCTGGCTCATGGATCCTGCTGGCCATCCTTTCCTCTTGGTCTAGTTCTGGTCTTTGAATGCCTAGATTCAGTAGGCTTTTTTGCCCGGGTATCCTATGGGATGTGGGGGGATGCAGGGAGTGCCTCCCTGTAGCTGGGCCCTCTCCTTTCCTGGAGGGCCTAGGCTACCAACAGCCTGCAGCCAGATTGGAGGAGGGGAGGCTGGGAAACCTGCCTGGGCCTCTGACAGGTGAGTGCAGTACTCTGCTTTGCTCCAAAAATACTCAGTGATCTTAGCTCTTTCTCTAGAAAACAGTGATGTCACCGGGAGCCAATAGGCTTCTGGAAGGGCTTGCCTCCCTCTCTGCCTCCTCCTTCCGCAAGTTGCAGAGAAGAGGGAGGAAGAGGGGGGAGAGGGAGACACAGGCGACACACACTGACTCCTTGGAGAGGCACAGACAAGAAGCACACATGCACATAGAAAGCTCCATATTTCTGAAAAGCAGGCAAAACCCTTTCTGTCATAAATATAGCAGAAATTCACAGGGCACACACACATACACACAGAGAGGAAGC